ACATGTATAAATATCTTGTAGGTTTGTTTTTATAAATTGGGTGTGTAATATCATATCACAAAGAAACATGCCCTGAGCAATGACTTTACGTAGGGTTCAATGCTAGTTAGTGGTTTGTCGTAGGTGTGCCTTACGGTTGTTGTCATGTTATGAAAGGTCAGCGATCCATGCTATGACCCAATCATTGCGCTATTATACTGAGCTGACAAGATCGTTAAGATAAATTCGGGTTGATTTAATTCATTTGTCTTGTTTGACAATGTAAGGTTGTTACACTTCATTACAAAGAATGCTACTGTTATTAAGTAGTACAGTTAGGTATTGTTCCTTAAATAAATGTAGTGACGAGGGATCCAAATAAACCATCGGGTGTCAGTGCAAATACAAATGAGCGGAACAAATTATTTGGATATAGTCATTCTGTGTTCATTGCTTCTCTTAAAATGTATTCACACTTAAACAAATAAATACTTTATAAATTTCATTCACAAATCTCAATGTATAATTTTCCAACTCTTAGGGTCTTGGCTCAGGTTGAGTTTGTCATTTTCCCAAACCATAGGGGTTGTTGGTATAGACAGGTCAATACTTATTATTGGTCCTCTAACCTAACCCGTTTGAATAGTAACAGTCTGCACTGTTAGCCACTAGTCCTATGCACAAGACTAGTAATACTTTATTCGGACTAGTAAGTATTTGCAAAACTTTGTTTAGACACATAAGAAAAATGTCAGAATATTGTTCTTTATAGACTAGTAGTTGGAAAAGATTTCAGTGCAGATTGTAGTCATAAAACTTTCATCTTTTTCATGATAAGAAGTTATGCACACCATACAAAAAATCAGAAAAAGAGGTAGTCTCATGCAGTCAGTATTTATGCAGAATCAGAGGAATTTGCGTTTGTTTTGGATTAGGAGCTAGGGGGACGGGGGACATAACAAAATGAAGTGAGTGAAGTAGAAGCAGAGCTGTATTGCATCCGACTGATTATGTTTATCTTTTAAATGATGTTCAACTATGTACATGTACAAGAACCTTCACATTATAAATTGTAAAAACTTCTAGAGCCCTCAGTGTGTCAGGTTAATGAATTCAACAAAGATGACCAAAGAAATATAAAAATAAGGAGACATGGTATGATTGCCAATGAGAGACCTATCTGCCAAAGATTAGCATGATCAAAGGACAAGTATGTTTTAACATCTACACTAGTACAGGTCACCATAATAAAATACCTTTATAAATTACCAAAACCAATAAAAAATTATCATTTTATTTCAACACTTTCAATTAATTAATACACATTAAAATGTAGAAGTGTTAAAATTTGAATGTTTTTGCTGGTCAGAAAGGCGTTTAAAACATCTTTTAATAACCTATGCCTTTAAATCCCCTCATCCTATTTCCTGGCGAAAGTTTTTTTTTTATCTCTTTGGTTGTTAATCCTATATACATGATCTGATGATAATACACCATCGAATGTGGGTGACCCATCATAATTTGACATTTATATCTTCACACCAAATAAAGCTGAAGTTAAAAGATCAGGTCTTAAAATTTCTGAAATGTTATCTCCTAAGAAATGTACATATCATATTTACGTATGAAATTAACATCATACATAGTTATGAGATAGCTACGAAGTTGTGATTGTCATTCTAAACACTTTCCTAACCTTCCTTCCATTGATAGAGGATTACCCTCAGATGTATAGAAGTATTATGGGTTAAGGACTCCTGCAGTGATTTCATCTTTTTTCCATTTAAGGTTAACTTGTATAGAGAGAAAACAGTTCATTCATCTTGTATAAGTATCATTTAACAAGTTCAAAGCCTCCTATGCCATTGAAAAAAAATATGAAAGAGGGAAAAAGTTAGGCATTTTTTTTTGCATATTTGTTCTTGTGTGCATATTTACATAAACTAAACATATTAAATAAAATGAACTGTAAGAATTTTTGAAAACTGAATATAATTTTGTCAGTCCTTTACTTCCTAAATGCAGTAAAATGCAGTTTGTTATTTAATAAAAATATCAAAATATGTCTTGTGTTATATACAAAAACTTTTAGTTCTTTTACTTCCTAAATAAAGTAGCATGCCGTTTGTTTCTAAATAAAAATATCAGACACTCATCCATCTCCAGCTATAGATTATATTTTTAGACCAATTCAGAAGAAATATATATGTAACATTTAATCTTGTGGTCTGGCCACAAAGAATCATTAGATATTCTAGACAAATCATTCATAATGATTAAATAGGTGGACCCCAGTTTACTTGTGAGACCCTGAAACTATTGCTTTTAAAAAAAGATATTTATTTATTTTTACAGCACAAATTATGGTTGTCGCCAATGTTCAAGACAAACATTTCATAACTTCATTACATCCTTGAAATTTCATTATTTCTTATCCTACAAATAAAATTCATTACAGAAAATGTATAGTCGTCAGTTTATTGAATTATTATTTGAAATTTTAAGCATAAACATAAATGTTTTGATGGGAGCTCATTCAAGGGTAAACACCATTTTCTAAATATTGACACAGAAATAAAAGTAAGCTATCAGCCAGTCAATCAGACCTCAATTTTTGTTTAATTTTCATTCAACATTTGTACAAAAAGAAATGGTATAACAATTGCAGTTTTTAGTTCACTACACAAAATGACCGTTAATAAAGTATCGATGAAGGCACTTGTTTGATTTCGGTAAATTATTTTAAATTGATCAGGGATTTTAAGTAAGCTGAACTTAAATCTATAATGGTTTAGGTTAGGATCGTTAAAAGTATTTAAAAGACTTCAGTGTCAAATTTTTAATAGCCTAATTTTGTGAAACCTACTTTTGTCTTGTATTTGATCAAAAGATAAAATATGACATGTTTAAATTAAATGTACTATAGTGTGACTCAAAAGTGTATGTTTTATGGAAAATGATCTATGTATGTTAATTATATATAAGGACAAAATAAACAGTGTATGGATATTGAAACATACATGTACATGTAATTGAGCAGGTAATCGAGGAAATGATTACAATTGAATGAATAATCAAATACACAGACTGTTATCCTCTCTGAACTTTAATCAGGAAATTATCACCAAATACAATTTTAAATATAAAAAAAAAAAATTATGGAACCAGCTGTCCAATTACATAAGTTCAATAAACTCGGTTTAGGTGATAGAAAAAATGTTGATTGTTTGGTACATAAACCAGGCCCTTAGTTTTCTCATTTGCATTGTTTTACATTTGTCTTTTTGGGGACTGTTATAGCATTACTATGCTGAATGAGTTTCTCATTGTTGAAGGCCATGCAGTGACCTATAGTTGGTCTCTGTTGGAGAGTTGTCTCATGGGCAATCATGCCATATCTTCCCCTCAGTCTGGTACTGATTTTCGTTGATTTCATGAGTAAAGGTTAACCTCAATTTAAGTGTTCAACAAAATACTATATTTTATTATACAATGTAAGCTTGTATGCAGAATTTGTTTAAACCATGAAATCAAATATCCCTTAAAATACAAATTTTCCACAATCTACAAAAATAGGAACCCAACAAAATGATTTGATGGACTTAAGTCAGCTGACAATTGTTCTTTTTAATTTAAAGGTCAAGACTAATTTAATTTGTACTTAACTAAACTATTTTAAGTAAAAGTCCAAGATAGCATACAAAATGTTCTGAAAATTTTATAACCTCAAACATTAACATGCATTTGAACCCTGCTCTCATGCCAGTCATGTATTAATGGAAAATTGTTAAATAATAAACAGATTCTCAATGTAAAATTGATCAAGAATAAAAAGGTTCTCAATCTTTGACCAATGTTTGAATATCTTAGGAGATGTGAAGCAAAAAGATTAATTACTGGTGTATTAATTTGAATTAAAATCATGTATATATCTATGTGACATCCATGTAGTGTGTTTTGCACTTAAATCTGTCTAATATCTTCCTGTTACCTTGGTTGAGTACATGTAAGTGGAAAGTACTCAGAATTATATACTATGGATATTTTGACTTAATGGTACTGTTGGGTAAAGGAAAACAAATTCGTCTACTAGTCTTTTAACATTATGGCTTTTTACTGTAAAAGTCATGTTACATGGGTAACTGTATGGGTCAAGTCTGTTCTTGATATTGACAAAAATGAACTTATGGGACAAAGGAAAGTTCCTAGACAGCATCATACACATGATACATACAGTTCATAGATATAAGAATATGTGGTATGAGTGCTAATGAGACAACTCTCCATCCAAGTCACAATTTGTAAAAGTAAACCATTATAGGTCAAAGTATGGCCTTCAACACGGAGCCTTGGCTCACACCGAACAGCAAGCTATAAAAGGCCCCAAAATGACTAGTGTAAAACAATTCAAACAGGAAAACCAACGGTCTAATCTATATAAAAGACGATGTATGTTTTTTTTCAGGCCCTGTATATCTATATTAGTAAAAAGATATTTTGGGTATTTGTCAATGAGCCAGCAATGCTTTATTACTTCCCATACTGACAGAGTTTGTGAGTTGCTTGTAATATTAAAGTGCCACAAATAAATTCAAGTTATAGATAAAGGTTCTATCAGTAGGCTATTTAATGTCCTACAGAGCAACTTAATACTCTTAGTCAGACCGCAGATGAATATTGATAAAACTAAATTATTTTAATCCTAATTGTAGTTCACAAGGCCTGATGTCTTTTTTCCATATATATATATATATATATATATATGCAATCAAAACTTGACTTATTTTAGATCCTGACAAAAGAGTTTTCTAACAGGAATTTACTAACTTTATGTAGCAATTTTATCAGTCAGTATTGACCTAAACATTATAAAAATCATTGTGTTTTTAAATGTTTAAAACATTAATTATCTGTTCTTTTGATCTTGTTGATGCTGGCTTTGATTACAGGTGATAAGTTCTTTGATCTTGTTTATTTGTTTACAATGTTGTTAATTCTTTTGATGTTTTTATTTTTTCCAGGTGTTTTGAAGGTTACAATGCCACAGTTTTTGCCTATGGACAGGTATGACATGGTTATATATATATATATATATATATATATATATTATATTATACACCTAAAATTGAGTCACTGGTTACCTCCCTTGAAATTTTGACATTACTTTATTATTTTTAACCTCAAATATTTTATAATATGCCTTTGAGCCAGAGATGTGAAACAGTTGAAAAGCTTCTGTCAGCTGAATTTAACTCCAGTATTTTTATAAGAAAATATATTAATCAAGTTGTGTTAAAAGTGAAATCACAAATTTTTACCGCCTTTTCACAAATTATCTTACAGAAAAAAAACCTATTTTTTAGTCACTTCACTTTTCATATGCGTGGCTCTTCTATTAAATCCTCCTAACTTCATGCTATGAAAGCAAAGAAGGCATGTCAATAAAATTTTCAACTTACAATTTTTGTTTATCAATTTAAAAATGTTCAGTCTTTAAAGTATTCTTTAATGTAGGAAAAATATCACTTAATACTGTACATCGTACATTGATTTTGGAAAAAAAAATTGCATGAATTTTTTTTTTTTTTATCATAATATCTGTATACTGTTTTTCCTTCAAATCAAATAAAAGCACCCTACTGATATGTCATTTAGTTGTGCATGCAATAGTGCCTTTGAAAGTTTGAAGACATTAAAATATTTCATTAACAGCATGACAGGACAAAACTAAGAGTGAACGACCTATGACTGTTTATTCTAGTGAATTATAAACCATTGATCCTCCAGAGAAAAGTGACATAAGATTACGCAGGCTTTAGATTAGGGACAATATTGATTTTTACGATAGATCTAGGTATTTCTATGCATTAATCATCGCTTAAATTATATTGATTGCGATTATTTATAGTATTATATCGTTGATTAGATTATCGTAAAATCAAAGCAATTTATTGATATAATTTTTTAATGTTTTTTATATTTCTTGCTATAAGATCCGATGTGGGAAATTTCGTCTTTGATCAGATACTGTACTTCAACGGTTTTATCGGTTTTATTGTCAGGTTTAGTCACTATCAATATTTCAACGGTTAGATATGTGAAATGTGGTCGATTTCAAGTATGTCAATTGCTACTTGTTATGATGGCTTCGACTGTTATAAGTATATATGGGTTACAAGTTAACTCTACAAGTGCTGTTGAAGTATTGCATATTTTTATGATATTTACCCAAGAGTAGCTTCCTGGACAGATGTAAATACGGAACATCTTTGATGTTTTTAAAACGATGAAGCCAAAATCAAATTAAGGTATAAACTTAAATTTTTCTGACTGATTTATACTGTAAACCAACTTATTTTTGCGGATACTTTATTTCGCGTTTAGCCCTTTCTAGCACATTTCGCAGGGATTTTAAATAGCGATTTTCAAATTTACTTGATGTAGTTAAATAAAGAAAGATCCAAGTTTTAATACATGTTCGCAACGATTTATATTCGCGTTATTTTTCTAATCGCGAATGTCACGAAAATAAATCGCTCACGAAAATTAGTTGGTTTACAGTATGTAGCTTTTTGGCTATTTATTTCAATGTTATATATATATGACTGCTGAATACTTAGTGTTCCTTTTCTGGCCATTTCATGTTCACATTTAGAATGAGTAGTATATATATAACATTGTTTGCTGGAGAATTAGTCAAAACTTAAAAGGATGTTTATATTGACAAAGATAGGACAAATATTCTTGGTTTCAGTCTTGTTATATTCAACCGATGTTACAGTTGTACAAATTAGCTATTCCTTGTTTTAAAGGATTTGCCTGTGTATGTTACTATATTCTTTTAACTGTGAACCTCTAAACATATGCTTGCATAAGATTTGGAAAAGATTTAAAATTTGAAAAGATTTTCTTGGCTGAATCATTGACCCCAATAAAAAGACAATATTAAAATTTATTTTTAATTATGATCTTAGGGAAACTATATATGTACGAAATGTTTGTTTACACCTTTTCCATGACCCTTGACCCACCTGTTTGACATTGATAACCTTATATTTTGACTGACTGAGCCCCTATAAGTATGAAATAGGTATTAGCCTGTTGTTCAGTAGTTGTCGTTTGTTGATGTGGTTCATAAGTGTTTCACGTTTCTCGTTTTTTATATAAGGTAGACCATTCGTTTTCCTGTTTGAATGGTTTTACACTAGTCATTTTGGGGCCCTTTATAGCTTGCTGTTCAGTGTGAGCCAAGGCTCCGTGTTGAAGGCCATACTTTGACCTATAATTGTTTACTTTTTATACATTGTGACTTAAATGGAGAGTTGTCTCATTGGCACTCATACCACATCTTCTTATTTATAGTTGATATCAATTTATCCTCCTACACTCCGCTGACCTGAACATAACCTGTTTTATGTCAATAAATATACATGTATGCTATGTGACGTGGGAGGAATACTAGTATTAATACCTTTTTTCCTGAGACCTTTAACTTTAAATTCCTATTGAATTTTACATTGAAATCTTAATCTATATTTTATCAAAACAAGCTTTTGATTTTAAATAGAGTATAAAATATACTTGATGTGAATTTAAATGGTCATGTTATAATGTTTACTGCAGTGTGAATTGAAAATTCACTTGTATTAAGTTTATTGATATCAACAGTATATATAGGAGTATATATGTTTAACTACCTTGTTGCTTAGAATGGCCAAATATCAGGATATAAAGTTGTAATAGAGGTCGTATGATCTATATTGTTACTGTTGGGTGTTGATATCAGATATTTGATTGTTTTATGGTGATTTTTTTCAATGATTATAGAGCTTGGTATATTATGTAGACACCTGTCTATTGTTGAAGACTCAATGTTGACCACTAGATATCTTTTGGTTATTTTTGCCATTAGGTTGCTGTCTCGTTTGCGTATACCGTACTCAACATCTCCTTTTATTCATAGTAAATATATTTGTAATTAGTGTTCAACTTTCATAAGTATTTTCTTTAGACCAGAATGGGCAGCTTCAACTTTTTTAACATTTTTAAGGGTTGCTGGACATGATAAATAAGTCTAGTAAATATGAGAATTAAGGAGATGTGGTATGATTGCCAATGAGAAACCATTCACCAAAGACCAAATATATTGTTCTTGCCCTACTATATATATATGATTATAGACCCTGTACCAAGGTGCATACTGTATTTACAGCTCGATCTAAGCTTTGTTTACATCAATGATACATTTTAAGATGTCCTTGGGGGTAATTGCTGTATGGTTGAATTGCGGTCTCATTGATGTATCACATCTCCTTTTATTCATACAAAATATCTAAAAGATCGAAGAGATTTTCTTTTTGTCAAAAATTTATATCATTATACTAAATCAATTTTTACAGCAACATCTATTAATATCATATTCTAAGGGAAAATTGTCGGCAATAACTTTTGTGTTCTTAAAATAAAATCACCTTATTTCGCATAGCCTATACATAGCATCATAACAATGTTTGCCTTTTTTCTGGATCAAAAGTTGAAACATGCTTTGTGTCAATTTTCTCTTGTGGCAATAAAAAGTCGTGTAAATAGCCATAAATATGAATTATTAAATGATTCATTAAACACACAATGTTAAAATAATCTATAGAGCTGTGTTCTGTCATCTTTCAAATTTCCCAGGGTGTAAACTTTGCTGTAAGGACTATTGTTCAGAGTGTTAATAGCCAATTCATGAGTTGCTCGGCTGTAAAAAATTATGAATGAATTCAACCATCTGACCTCATGATCACTTAATATATATGCTTGAGGTTGAGTTATAAACTGAAATTATTGCTGTATTTATCTTTATTATTGAACAATTAACACAAATCTGAGTTTATTTATTGCAATTTTAGGAAATGGTGCTGGCAAATTATGCTATCAAAATTTAAAATGCAAGTTTTTATTTTTGTTACACTTATTCATTTCAAAGCAATTTTCTGAATTTGCAATAGTTGGTCTTAGAGGACATGGAATTTAGAGAAGACTGAAGGATTAGACTAAATAGAACTGACAGTGATTCTGCAGGATGTTTTGGAAAATTATTAATTATTGGAAATGCTTTTTGAATTAAAAAAAAAAACCCAGACAATTCATTGTGTAAATAAATTGTTAATATCTATTTGATAAATTGTTGATATCTTACTTAAACCACCACACATAAATAGCACAGATAACCTTTTTTCTGTTTAATTTAGCAAAATACTTTAGATATCTGATAGCTTGAGAAAAAGTTGTTGAAATAGGACAAAATGACATAATTTCTAATTAAAGGGAATGGAGGATTATAGCTTGCACCCAAATTTTCAAAAATTCTAAATAAGCAACAAAATTTAGAAGCAACCACCTCTGATGAAGTTAATGACATTTTTTGACATTGGCCAATTTGAACTATATGCTCCTTCCAGTAGGGTGTTCTTTTTTATATGTCCAAAAGTTGTGGAAAATTCAGAAAACCTATGGAATCATCGTTCACTGAGCTAATTAACTTCTAATATTTTCTGACAGTTAAGGATATTTTATAAAAGCTTTGAGGTAGAAATTTCTCATGATAACCCCATATTAAAGTTTTCACCTCTGAATGAATGTAATAATTCATAATGATGTTTTAGTTGTTTTTATATCTGTTGCATCATACACTTCGCTGAATCTGACAAAATTACCCCAGAGGTGTATATATGTATGTACCGATCGTTATCTTTATATGGTGTAAATTGTTGTTTTCAAAACAATTTCATGGTCTGATTGTTAAAAAGTTAACTTTTTTCACAGTAATTACATGTATACAATATTCAATTTAATGCTTGTAGGAAAGCTTTTCATTTTTCTAAAAAGAAATATATTTAAAGGCACATTCTTAGCTTTTTTGCCATCTTTAAGTATCAGCAATTTAAATGATTATGAAAAGCATGCAATAAAAGTCATATGGTATATGAATGTCATAAATTTGTTTTTTAATTTTCAAAAGGAGTTTTTTGCAATTTTTGTGGTTCAAAATAGGGCAGTGAGTGTTCTGACATAAAACTTGTCGATGGAAAAGTAAATTAAAATGCAATATCAGATTCATTTGAAAATAATGAATGCATTATGTAAGGTGCGAAAAGAATCAATGAATGAGATTTAAGAAATTTCACAAGTATACCTACCAGTTAATGTAGTGGTAATATATTATACCCCCACTCTGAAAGTTTGGGCTATATTGCTATCACCTTGTACATATTTCTGTTTGTTTGTCTGTCTGTCTGTCCTTCCCTATGTCCATCTGTTCTTCTGTTTGTCTTAAATATTTTCATTACTTTTCTCAGAAACCACTTGACAGAATGACTTGATATTTGGTCATCAGCTTGACAGTGATGAGTTGCAATGTGACTGCTTTTTCAGACCTGTCAAATGCTTACTTCATAATTTGACAGTACTCAGAATTTTTTGATAAGTTAAATAAACTTCTTCACACTTTTCTCAGTCACTGCTTCACAAAATTAATTACTATATCTTTGGTCAGCAGCTCGACAGGTGCTCAGAATCCAAGATGGTTACTATTTTAGCGACCCAAGAAATAGACTATCTTAGCTAGTGTTTCTTGTGTGTGTGTATATTTTAAGTTGACCAGGGGTAGGTCTTTTTTTAAGTTTTCAAAATTTAATTTAATATCTTCTTCATGAATTCAGTCGATTAATCAAAATTTTCAAATTGAATTTGCAAGCCTGAGTCTGCAATAAGTGTTTTAATTGAAAGAGTGTTATTATAATATCCTTTAGATAAAGATAAACCAAGCATGTATTGCAGCAGAGAAGTTATAAAAAAAGAACGGACTATTTATTGCATCATAACTAGATTTTTAGAAAATATTATTTTGGGGTTAAAACATAAATTCAACTGTTTGTGATGGTTTTGTTGTATTGTGTATTTTACTTTGGGTTTTATTGCCTGGCACATTTTATCACTTTTGTAGTGCACAGAGCATACAGAATAGTAATCAGGTCTGCAGTTTTCTTAGATTTTCATTGTCTGATTGTCAGGAACTAAGGATAATGGCATTTATACAATTTTATGCAATTGTATTGTCCAATGCATCTTGCATTGTAGTTGTAGATTATACACTGTGTTTAAGAATACCATTGGTATATACTTTAATTAAATATGGATGTTTTAGAGCTTAGGGTATTGTTTAGACACTTATCTTTAGTTGAAGAGTTGTTGACCAAGATGCCTTTTGGTTATTTATGTTGTTTGGTAGCTGTCTTATTAACATGCACTCTCAATTGTCTTTTCATATTTCAATGGTATTTTTAAAGGCAGTGTATAAAATAAACAACTGACAAATTCAGATTTTCCTGTATATTGGTATTTGCATATAAGTATTGAACTAAGTTAGATGATTGAAGCCGTATTGTCTGCGTTGAAATAACAGAGGGTATTTTATATGCAGGTTTGGAGAAACATTGACCTCTGTACTTAATATAGTGATGTATAAATGAAGCATTATTGATTTGGGTAAAAGAGAATAAGAAAAAGATATCAATTTGATCAGCAAAATGTCGTTAATTGTTTGTGGATCAGTGAGTCAATTTATTTAGCATGAGAATTAATATATTTTATCAGGAAATTGATTAGGTTTAGTTTCAGCAGAGAACATGTACAACAGTTGTTATCTGAGGAGGTAGGGGAAATATAAATAAATGGGTAATGAGATAGCGGGATGCATGGAAGAAATATGATTTATAGAATTTAGGAAAGACTTTTTGATACTTTAAAAAGATGTAGAGTTAACATTTATGAGAGATATATGAAAGAAAAAAATTATGAATGAAAATGGAAGAAAGTTTTGAGAGACCACTGAATGATTAGGGAAAAGCGGAAATCGTTTTTCAAGAAAAGGGGGGGGGGGGGGGGGGGGGGGGGGAGGGGGGGGCAAATTATGTGAAGACTGCTGATTGATTCAAGGGTCATGACAGGATATTTTTGTAAAGTAATAGTTTAGAGGCTAGGAATGCCCTTTACCGTCTGTTGTCAAACGGTCATTTTCGGCTATTGTTAGCGTCAAATTGGTCAAAATATTATCGTGATTCGTCAAAATATCCTTATTGTTATTCGTCAGAGGTCTCAAATAATTAACCGTTATCATTATTTTTGGAAAGAATTTAACGGGAGTCGTCAAAATCAGTCGATTATTTTACAGTCATAAAGAAAGTGTTCATTTTATTGTCATGCACCAAAAATTACTGTTAACGTCATTTGGCCAGATTTTTTATCGTTATTCATCATGAAGGTACCCCCCATTACGACCCTCATTTATGATACCTGTATTTTGAAAGGAAAAAATTGAGGCTTCAAGCTGTGCAGAACATATGAAAATATGAATTTGATTGATTATTGGTTATTTAACATCAAATTTAATGCAAAGGGAAAAAGAAGAAAAACACCAACATTTCACCGATGAAGGATAGTTAGAAGAAAATGAATTAAATACCTTATTTTCACCCTTGTCAGTGGGTCTCATTGGGGTCTAAGCGTGACGCGGGATTGCCGATTTTTTGTAAGCGTGAGACGTGAAAGTCAAATGATTATGCCGTGAAAACAGGAAATGAAGTCTAGCGGGATACGGGAAATTACAACAAAAAAATGAGAATTGCTTACGTACATAGTGTAAGCGGGATACGGGAATTTGACAAAACAGTAAGGGAGATCCGGGATCAGAACCCCCCAATGAAACCCCCTTGTCATTTCTTTTGGATGATAGAATACAAATGAATAGAATGCAAATACAAAAGTCAATTAAATTCTATTATTGAGTTGAAATGTAGATAATAGAGGATGGTAAATGTTCAATCATGTTTATATTGTAATTGTTTCTCTTAATCTTTCCAATTGATAGCATTTAAATAATCTTTAACATTCACTTAATATATCAGAATAGAATGATAGTCTAGACCATCCTAACTAAGTAATCAGGTTGAAAGAGAAGTTGATTTGTCAAGTCAAAAGGTGAAGAGACTTTATTAAGAAATAGAGACATTTTCACTTACAGTTTTTGGTAGGATTATTTATGAGAAACAGTCTTGTTTGAAATCTTTGTATTTATTACCGGTTGTTATCCATCCATTGACAATTTTTTTGGGGGTAGGTGGGTTTTAAGGCTGTTTCTCATATCTAGAAGTAAAAGAAAGACTTCAAAATAGGACAGTTATGTCAGTTTTTCATCCTCTTTTTCCGTAAGAGTAAAAAGTTTGAAGGCTGAGAGTAAATTTTGAAGACCAGGAAATAAAAATAGTTATATATAATAAACTTTCTTAGATTCTTTCTTATATAATGCCTTTGTGCATCTATTATTCTTTTTAGTCTGATAACTGACATTCTGGAAATCTATACAAATGGGGGAAAGGGTATGAAATTTGAGATCTCTGCCCATTGCCTCTGGACAGCTAGTTACTAGATACTACATTTAAATGTATTTGAAAGTCATTGAATAATCTTACAAATAGTAAATAAGATTTTATCACTTGGTACTTTGATGACTTGACTTTGCAGTTGGTTAAATTTCTGACCAGTTTTTGTCGAGCCTTCGACTTTAGTCGAAAAAGGGAGACATAGCGATCCTACATTCCGTCGGCGTCGTCGGCGGCGTCCACAAATATTCACTCTGTGGTTAAAGTTTTTGAAATTTTAATAACTTTCTTAAACTATCCTGGATTTCTACCAAACTTGGACAGAAGCTTGTTTATGATCATAAGATAGTATCCAGAAGTAAATTTTGTAAAAATAAAATTCCATTTTTTTCGTATTTTACTTATAAATGGACTTAGTTTTTCTGCCGGGAAATATTACATTCACTCTGTGGTTAAAGTTTTTAAAGTTTTAATAACTTTCTTAAACTATCCTGGGTTTCTACCAAACTTGGACAGAAGCTTGTTTATGATCATAAGATAGTATCCAGAAGTAAATTTTGTAAAAAAAAAAAATCCATTTTTTCCTTATTTTACTTTTAAATGGACTTAGATTTTCTGCCAGGAAACAACACATTCACTCTGTGGTTAAAGTTTTTAAAATTTTAATAACTTTCTTATACTATTTTGGATTTGTACCAAACTTTTACAGAAGCTTGTTTATGATCAAAAGCTAGTATCTAGAAGGAAATTTTGTTAAAAAATAAATCCATTTTTTCCGTATTTAACTTTTAAATGGACTTAGATTTTTTGCCAGGAAACAACACATTCACTCTGTGGTTAGAGTTTTTAAAATTTTAATAACTTTCTTATACTATTTTGGATTTGTACCAAACTTGGACAGAAGCTTGTTTATGATCAAATGCTAGTATCTAGAAGGAAATTTTGTTTTCTTCCAGTTAACAATACATTCACTCGGCAGTTAAAGTTTTTTTAACATTTATTAGATTCATAAACTATCCTGGATTTTTACCAAACTTGGACAGAAGCTTCTTACAATCAAAAGATAGTATCATGAGGAATATTTTTATTGATTTACTTCCTCATTTTTGTTGAGCCTGCCATTAACAGAAAAAGTAGGCGAGACACTGGGTTCCGCGGAACCCTTACAAATTTTTTGAACAGTTGAGCAGTTTGATTTGAAGAAACAAATTACAATTGGGTCAGAATTTTGAATAAACTGGAATAGGTGGAGAAAAACACTTACAATCAAGTCACTGTAAATGTTGTCATCTATGAGCATGCTTAATTTAACAGTTTCTAACTTAATTATTGACATGTACAAATATATCAGCAGTCCATATCAAGATTTGTATGTATTTTTCAGACTGGTTCTGGTAAGACCTACACTATGGGTACAGGGTTTGATGTCAACCATGTTGAAGAAGAGATTGGTATTGTACCCAGAGCTGTTGACCATCTGTTTAAGGGTATTGCTGAAAGACAGATGGAAGCCAAAGAGAATAACCAACCTCCTCCTGACTTTAAGATTACAGCACAGTTTATAGAGGTATGATGATAAGATTATAAATTCAGAAATTATTGCATAGATATAGGAAGATGTGGTATGAGTGCCAATGAGACAACTCTCCATCCAAGTTACAATTTATAAAAGTAAACCATTATAGGTCAAGGTACGGCCTTCAACACTGAGCATTGGCTCACACCGAACAGCAAGCTATAAAGGGCCCCAAAAAATTACTAGTGTAAAACCATTCAAACTGAAAAACCAACGGCATGCATTTATTCTGCAATTTATGAAGAATGAACAAAAATGCGAGTTTGATTATTGCAAATTTCAGAAAAATCTGCATATAGATATAAATGTATCTGTTATCAGAATTAAAGTTCTTATTATTGCAATACTCACCCAGTCGCTTTATTCGGATTAATAAAAACCTTGCAATAATTTCTGAATTTACAGTAGTTAATCAATCATATGGGGACCTTGGACAAGTGATGTAAGTTGTTTGTGTTGAACAACATGAATTGTCATTGATATGGTCATAATTATGAATTAGCTGTTTACAAAACTTAATACTAAAGATTTACTTCCCTAGGAATAGATAAAGTTAGTTGTATTGTCTAAAACCTTTCGGAATTCAGGTCCTCAATGCTCTTCAACTTCTTACTTTATTTGGCCTTATCAAATTTTTTTTTGAGAGCGTCACTACATTAGTCTTTTGAAGATGAAACCTGTGTCTGGGGTACAAAATTTTAATCCTGGTATCTATGATGATTTTTTTTTCATTTACAATGATAACTTATACAACATGTCAACATGGTTAACTCTGAGGTAGTGAGTTGAGTTCTATTCCTATCTAAATTGACAAGGATTACCTGTTATCCTGCTGAAGTTCTATGGTTCTCTGAGGTGGTGAGTTGAGTTCTATTCCTATCTAAATTGACAAGGATTACCTGTTATCCTGCTAAAGTGATATGGTTCTCTGAGGTGTGAGTTGAGTTCTACTCCTATCTAAATTGACAAGGATTACCTGTTATCCTGCTAAAGTTCTATGGTTCTCTGAGGTGGTGAGTTGAGTTCTATTCCTATCTAAATTGACAAGGATTACCTGTTATCCTGCTAAAGGTCTATGGTTCTCTGAGGTAGTGAGTTGAGTTCTATTCCTATCTAAATTGACAAGGATTACCTGTTATCCTGCTAAAGTTCTATGGTTCTCTGAGGTGGTGAGTTGAGTTCTATTCCTATCTAAATTGACAAGGATTACCTGTTATCCTGCTAAAGTTCTATGGTTCTCTGAGGTGTGAGTTGAGTTCTATTCCTATCTAAATTGACAAGGATTACCTGTTATCCTGCTAAAGGTCTATGGTTTTCTGAGGTGGTGAGTTGAGTTCTATTCCTATCTAAATTGACAAGGATTACCTGTTATCCTGCTGAACGTCTATGGTTCTCTGAGGTGGTGAGTTGAGTTCTATTCCTATCTAAATTGACAAGGATTGCCTGTTATCCTGCTAAAGGTCTATGGTTCTCTGAGGTGGTGAGTTGAGTTCTATTCCTATCTAAATTGACAAGGATTACCTGTTATCCTGCTAAAGGTCTATGGTTCTCTGAGGTGGTGAGTTGAGTTCTATTCCTATCTAAATTGACAAGGATTACCTGTTATCCTGCTAAAGGTCTATGGTTCTCTGAGGTGGTGAGTTGAGTTCTATTCCTATCTAAATTGACAAGGATTACCTGTTATCCTACTAAAGTTCTATGGTTCTCTGAGGTGGTGAGTTGAGTTCTATTCCTATCTAAATTGACAAGGATTACCTGTTATCCTGCTGAAGTTCTATGGTTCTCTGAGGTGGTGAGTTGAGTTCTATTCCTATCTAAATTGACAAGGATTACCTGTTATCCTGCTAAAGTTCTATGGTTCTCTGAGGTGGTGAGTTGAGCTCTATTCCTATCTAAATTGACAAGGATTACCTGTTATCCTGCTGAAGGGATATGGTTCTCTGAGGTGTGAGTTGAGCTCTATTCCTATCTAAATTGACAAGGATTACCTGTTATCCTGCTAAAGTTCTATGGTTCTCTGAGGTGGTGAGTTGAGTTCTATTCCTATCTAAACTGACAAGGATTACCTGTTATCCTGCTAAAGGTCTATGGTTCTCTGAGGTGTGAGTTGAGTTCTATTCCTATGTAAATTGACAAGGATTACCTGTTATCCTGCTAAAGTTCTATGGTTCTCTGAGGTGGTGAGTTGAGTTCTATTCCTATGTAAATTGATAAGGATTACCTGTTATCCTGCTAAAGTTCTATGGTTCTCTGAGGTGTGAGTTGAGTTCTATTCCTATGTAAATTGACAAGGATTACCTGTTATCCTGCTAAAGTTCTATGGTTCTCTGAGGTGTGAGTTGAGTTCTATTCCTATCTAAATTGACAAGGATTACCTGTTATCCTGCTAAAGTTCTATGGTTCTCTGAGGTGGTGAGTTGAGTTCTATTCCTATCTAAATTGACAAGGATTACCTGTTATCCTGCTGAAGGGATATGGTTCTCTGAGGTGTGAGTTGAGTTCTATTCCTATCTAAATTGACAAGGATTACCTGTTATCCTGCTAAAGTTCTATGGTTCTCTGAGGTGGTGAGTTGAGTTCTATTCCTATGTAAATTGACAAGGATTACCTGTTATCCTGCTAAAGTTCTATGGTTCTCTGAGGTGGTGAGTTGAGTTCTATTCCTATGTAAATTGACAAGGATTACCTGTTATCCTGCTAAAGTTCTATGGTTCTCTGAGGTGTGAGTTGAGTTCTATTCCTATCTAAATTGACAAGGATTACCTGTTATCCTGCTAAAGTTCTATGGTTCTCTGAGGTGGTGAGTTGAGTTCTATTCCTATCTAAATTGACAAGGATTACCTGTTATCCTGCTGAAGGGATATGGTTCTCTGAGGTGTGAGTTGAGCTCTATTCCTATCTAAATTGACAAGGATTACCTGTTATCCTGCTAAAGTTCTATGGTTCTCTGAGGTGGTGAGTTGAGTTCTATTCCTATCTAAAATTGACAAGGATTACCTGTTATCCTGCTGAAGGGATATGGGTCTCTGAGGTGTGAGTTGAGCTCTATTCCTATCTAAATTGACAAGGATTACCTGTTATCCTGCTAAAGTTCTATGGTTCTCTGAGGTGGTGAGTTGAGTTCTATTCCTATCTAAACTGACAAGGATTACCTGTTATCCTGCTAAAGGTCTATGGTTCTCTGAGGTGTGAGTTGAGTTCTATTCCTATGTAAATTGACAAGGATTACCTGTTATCCTGCTAAAGTTCTATGGTTCTCTGAGGTGGTGAGTTGAGTTCTATTCCTATGTAAATTGACAAGGATTACCTGTTATCCTGCTAAAGTTCTATGGTTCTCTGAGGTGTGAGTTGAGTTCTATTCCTATGTAAATTGACAAGGATTACCTGTTATCCTGCTAAAGTTCTATGGTTCTCTGAGGTGTGAGTTGAGCTCTATTCCTATCTAAATTGACAAGGATTACCTGTTATCCTGCTAAAGTTCTATGGTTCTCTGAGGTGTGAGTTGAGTTCTATTCCTATCTAAATTGACAAGGATTACCTGTTATCCTGCCAAAGGTCTATGGTTCTCTGAGGTGGTGAGTTGAGTTCTATTCCTATCTAAATTGACAAGGATTACCTGTTATCCTGCTAAAGTTCTATGGTTCTCTGAGGTGTGAGTTGAGCTCTATTCCTATCTAAATTGACAAGGATTACCTGTTATCCTGCTAAAGTTCTATGGTTCTCTGAGGTGTGAGTTGAGTTCTATTCCTATCTAAATTGACAAGGATTACCTGTTATCCTGCTGAAGGGATATGGTTCTCTGAGGTGTGAGTTGAGCTCTATTCCTATCTAAATTGACAAGGATTACCTGTTATCCTGCTAAAGTTCTATGGTTCTCTGAGGTGTGAGTTGAGTTCTATTCCTATCTAAATTGACAAGGATTACCTGTTATCCTGCTGAAGGGATATGGTTCTCTGAGGTGTGAGTTGAGCTCTATTCCTATCTAAATTGACAAGGATTACCTGTTATCCTGCTAAAGTTCTATGGTTCTCTGAGGTGGTGAGTTGAGTTCTATTCCTATCTAAATTGACAAGGATTACCTGTTATCCTGCTAAAGGTCTATGGTTCTCTGAGGTGGTGAGTTGAGTTCTATTCCTATCTAAATTGACAAGGATTACCAGTTATCCTGCTAAAGTTCTATGGTTCTCTGAGGTGGTGAGTTGAGTTCTATTCCTATGTAAATTGACAAGGATTACCTGTTATCCTGCTAAAGTTCTATGGTTCTCTGAGGTGGTGAGTTGAGTTCTATTCCTATCTAAATTGACAAGGATTACCTGTTATCCTGCTAAAGTTCTATGGTTCTCTGAATTGGTGAGTTGAGTTCTATTCCTATCTAAATTGACAAGGATTACCTGTTATCCTGCTAAAGTTCTATGGTTCTCTGAGGTGGTGAGTTGAGTTCTATTCCTATCTAAATTGACAAGGATTACCTGTTATCCTGCTAGAGTTCTATGGTTCTCTGAGGTGGTGAGTTGAGTTCTATTCCTATCTAAATTGACAAGGATTACCTGTTATCCTGCTAAAGTTCTATGGTTCTCTGAGGTGTGAGTTGAGTTCTATTCCTATCTAAATTGACAAGGATTACCTGTTATCCTGCTAAAGTTCTATGGTTCTCTGAGGTGGTGAGTTGAGTTCTATTCCTATCTAAATTGACAAGGATTACCTGTTATCCTGCTAAAGTTCTATGGTTCTCTGAGGTGGTGAGTTGAGTTCTATTCCTATCTAAATTGACAAGGATTACCTGTTATCCTGCTAGAGTTCTATGGTTCTCTGAGGTGGTGAGTTGAGTTCTATTCCTATCTAAATTGACAAGGATTACCTGTTATCCTGCTAAAGTTCTATGGTTCTCTGAGGTGGTGAGTTGAGTTCTATTCCTATCTAAATTGACAAGGATTACCTGTTATCCTGCTAAAGTTCTATGGTTCTCTGAGGTGGTGAGTTGAGTTCTATTC